ACGTTGTAAGTGAAAAACACCAACAACAAAAAAACACCAAAAATAATACCAATATTAAATGATACCAATTCGGATAATACTTGGAGGTTGGGAATTCAATATTTTTGTTTGTTTGTGTGTGTGTATAATCTTTGGATACACGAATGATGAAGATAAGTGTGGAGTCGTCTATATATATATATATATATATATATATATATATATATACATGCATACCCATTGACCAATCCACATAACATATATATATATATATATATGAATCGGCGGGATACGGAAGCAGACACGGGAGAGTGAGAGGGAAGCTTTTCCCACCATGGGGATTTCACTGCCCTATTTTTGTTGTTATTATATTACTATTATTATTTGTGTGTGTATTTGTGTGTAAGTGTATGGGGTGGAGGTCTTTTTTTCTTGCATGCAAGGATGACTTGTCTATTGTTTATTTATTTATTTTTTCCAACATCTTTTTTGTTGTTTTGTGTGACTGGCAGGGAATGCGCCGTTGGGTGGCTGCCGCCTCCCTGCAGAAGGGATTCGACCATTTTTGTTTTACGCCACGTGCTTTTTGGAGTCGAGGAGTTTTGTCTTCTCTGGCGGAAACATCGTGTTTTTATCCGCGGCGGCGTCGTATTCGACATGTGCCTTCGTCTCCATCTGCGCGGGTGCTGCAGAACAGCTGCCGCGGGTTCACCTCGACGTCTGCCGCCACCATGCGGTTTGGAGGGATTGGAAGAAACAGGCAGAAGCCCGCCGTGAGGGAATGGGACGAGCATGGAACGGCGAAAGGGCAGCAGTCAACAGAGACAACAGACACGGCGCTGCGGGAGATTGAAAGTTCCATCTCTGCGCTTAGGAATGACATCTTGCGGCAATACAGTGACGTCTTTAGCTTTTTGCCGTCCGCCGACCATCGACACTCGATGGTCATGCTGCTCGGCAACCACAGCGCGGGAAAGTCAACCATCATTAATTATCTTCTCGGTCGTGCCGTGCAACGGACCGGGGTTGCACCGACAGACGATGGATTCACCATCATTCAGCGTGGCGACCGGGATAGTGAAGAGGATGGTCCCACGAGCCTCAGCGACCCGCGGTACCAGCTTCAGGATCTACAGAAGTTTGGTATGCATTTTGTGCACCGGTTCAAGGTCAAAACGCGGCAGTTACCGCCCTCGTCAAACGTCCCATATGGACTGATGATTGTGGATACACCTGGAATGATTGACACCCCAGTCCACGTGAAGGACCGCACATCATTGGAGGGGCAATTGCGCGGGTATGACTTTTTGGCGGCCACGCGCTGGTTTGCATCTCGCTGCGACGTCATTCTTCTGGTGTTTGATCCGGCCAACCCCGGCACCACTGGAGAGACGCTCGATGTCCTCACAAAATCTCTCGCCGGATTTGAGCACAAGTTCCTCCTCGTGATGAACAAGGTGGACATGTTTGACAAAGCGACGGACTTTGGTCGCTCCTACGGAGCCCTCTGCTGGAACCTCAGCAAAGTCATTGAAATGAAGGACATTCCACGCATCTACACCACTTTTATACCAGTGAAGACCGCCTCAACCGAAGAATTGGAGGCCACGACGCCGCTGGCGTCTTCATTGAATTTAACGCCACTCGACTCAGCAACAAAACCAATAGAAGAATCAGCGGCGGTTTCGGTGGAAGAGAGGGTTGCAGTGGTGGCGATGCAGGAGTTTGTGAGGGAGCGGAACGAGGTGATGGAAGAGTTACTGAGGGCTCCGTTGCGCCGTCTTGACAACCTCATCACGGAGACGGAGGAAGGCGCGAGACGGATCCTACTCGCAGGCCGCGTATGCAACGCGATTCTTTGGAAGTATCGTCAGAAACAAGTGATCACGGTTCTTGCATCATCTGCCTTGTTGGGTTTGGGCGCACTGATCCTCACCGTTGGCGGCATAAGTGGCACGACGATTTCACTCGCCGGCATCACCGCTCTCGCTGCCGCAGGATCTCTTTACGGGTGCCTCGCTTATTTAAAGCGCCTAGAAAGTGAGCTTCTCAACGACAGCGACGCAATTTTTGATCGGCTGTTTATAGGGCGCGAGAAATCGTTGGATCTTCAGCTGCGCTGGAGGAACATTGTGAGACCGGAGCTTTTGGACCTGGCGTCTTCGTCGGCGACGGCAGGGAGGGGCGTCATTACATCCCTACCGACCCTCAGTCTGTGGGGACAAAAAAGCATAACCTCCATTTTGAAAAATGACATTCCTAGGCTTCGGCTGAGGGTGGCAGATTACAAAAATACGCACCACATCCGTGGCGGCAAGCATCCAACATCCACTTATTCAGGGAACCGTTAGTGTGTCAAGCAGAACCTCGCGGTCTATTGCTTGGCGGGGCAGGCTACTGGCCGTGTGTTTATTACGTATATACAAGATAATTTATTACCACTGTTGGGGGGCTTATTTTTTTTTGTTGCATCTGCTTGTTCTCGTGCTCCGAAGTCTCTTGGGATATATTTATATTTGCGTCTTCTTTATTTGGTTTTTTTTTTTTCCTTCTTTTTTTTTTGTTGTCGTTTTGGAGCGCACAGCTGCAAATGACAACGGAAAAAGAAGGAAAAAACAACAACAACAACAAAAAATAAAGAAGCAAAAGGCTGCGTAAATGAAGAGACACACGTACATACACACATAAGGGGAAGGGGGAAAGAAAGAGGCGCATACATGCGTAACATTTACGAGGATTTTTTTTTTTTTGTTATCTGCCTTTGTACGCGTCTTTTGTACGTACATGGAGGGCGGTCCGATGGTAATTTGCCTTTTTTCCTTTAAATTATTTTCTCTTCCTTTCTATTTCTCTATTTATTTATTTTTACAAACCAAGCGACTCGAGACAACAATGAGCCACATGTACATTCTTCAGGGGAATTCCCCTCTCAGTAAGGCGGTTTTATGCGTGCTTCGGATGTTTTCCGTTCCCATGGAACAAATCCTCACGGACGGCACACACTTTGCCGTGAATGATGGGTCAGTGATCCACATTGGTCTTCTCCCGATTTTGATGGTGCTTCGCAAGTCCTCAGAAACTCCCGAGTTGAGAGCATTTGTCGGGGCGGAGGCCGAGGTGCTTCCGCTGGTAAATCAATGGATTTCAACAGCACTTCTTCTCTCGGCGGATGCTGCGGGTGCTCGGGCCACTGCCTGTGCAACAACACCTCTCGCCACACATTTCTTTGCGGAGATTGAGCGCTGCGTGGAAAGCTTCAAACTAAAAAATGGTTTTCTGGCGGGAACGCCAAGGGCAACTGTTGCAGACCTTCTTCTTTACGCCGCCATTCACGGGCACCCGAATGGGTTGACCGAGGCACTACCATCCACGCTGGCGTGGTCCCACCATGCACAGCAGGATGCGTACCTGGAGCCAATTCTTTCGGCGCCGACCGCAAAGGCAACGGCGGCGGCTCCCAATGCGTCAAAGGTGAAGAAAACGATTTACGTGAAGCCGTCAGAGGAAGAAATTTTGCGCCGTCGCCAGGAGAAGGAAAAGGAGCAGAAGGCAAAATTGGCACAAGCCGCTAACGCCTCCACTGCTGCCACGTCGTCCGGCACGAAGGATGGTCACACCCAGAAGGGGGGGCAAAAGGAACAGTCACAGCAGGCTGCTGCACCTGACCCGAACCAAATTGACATTCGCGTCGGACGGTTTAAAAATATTAAACGGCACCCGGACGCCGATCGTCTGTACGTGGAAGAAATGGATCTCGGCACGGAGACGCGTACAATCGTCTCTGGTCTTGTGGGACACTACACGGCTGAGGAATTGGAGGGGTCCCTGTGCCTGACTGTGTGCAACATGAAACCGAAGCCACTTAAGGGTATCAACTCGGAAGGCATGATACTTTGCGCATCCAATGAAGCCGAACTTCGCCTTGTTCAACCACCCGATGGAGCCAAACCTGGCGATCGCATATTGTTTGCCGACGCGTTTAACGCAGAGGCACTAAAAAAGACGAAGCAACTTTCCAGGCATGTCATGGGTGATTTGATTGGGTTTCTTCACACGGACGGCGAGGGCATTTTGCGTTGGCGAGACATCCCCGCACAGCACGCCCATGGTGTGGTGAGGGTTCCCGACATTACTAATGCTATTGTGAAGTAGTAAAACAACTAAGCAGGAAGAGGTAAAAAAAACAAAAACAAAAATAAAAGGAAACGATACCGAAAAGTTAGAAGTTTTGGTGGAAAAAAGGAAAGGAGGAGGGATTATTCTGTTCGAGGGAGGCAATAATGGACTTTGTAAATGCGGTGGGGGATATGCGGATTTATCCTTCGTGGACGATGGATACCGGAGTGTGTTTTTCATCGCAGCCTTCTTTTTTTTTTTTTTTTTTTTGTTTTCTTTTTCCCTTTGGAGTGTACCTGCACATTCACCTGTTTTTTTTTTTTTTTTTTTTTTTTTTTGCGGTTGTGAGTTATTTATTTATTTATTTTTTTTTTTTTTGATTTCCTTTTTTTTTTTTTTTTGTTTGTTTTTCTTTTTCCCCATGCAGTGTCGCTTCTTATTCGAGCAGATAACGTAAGGGAAGGCAATATTATTGTTGGTGAGCAGATTTCTTTTGGCAACGATGTATCGGTCCAAGAAATCAGGTGGACTGGCTGCATCCTCCGCGACAGCGCCGGAACACTCCGTTGGTGCGGTCCAGGAAGAGATGATGCCGAACAACTCCCCCGATTTTACGATTGCGACAGGTGTGATGGCCTTCAAGGCGCGACTGATGGCACCTTTCATGCTGTACGATCGCTCGATTCGGCAGGTGGTGCCAAACCCCGCACACGACCGTGTTTATCGTTCTGAGGTGACTCGTGTGCAGGGCGTTGTGCTTCGCGAACTTCGGCACGCGCTGGAGCGAGAAACTAGCACCACCCCTAAAGAAATGCTCTACGGAATTCAAAAAAGTATCATGCTTGCCTATGCTTCTTGTGCCGTGTCTAGCGATGTGGAGGCACTTGTGCCAGTGGCCTCGGATGAGGAGGCGATGGACGTTATGCCACGACTAGAGAGCTTTTTTGGAGAAAGAATTGCCTCTTCTAAGGCTGTGGCGTCGCTTGCGGCTGTCCTCTCGACCGGTATTGTGCGTGATAGCTACAAGGAGGCGTGCAATCGTCTGGAGGCAAGGCTTGCAATGGAGGAGCAGCCCCAAGCGAAGAAAAAACGCACAAAGGAAGGACATTTCGCCCTGGAGGCGACAAAGAAGAACACACAAGATCTTTTTCAACTAAGAGCTTCGTTGTTGACGGCGTTTGAAACCATCAGCACACCTTTTAATGAAAATGGCACCACACCATTGCCAAACAGCGCCACGGCGGATGCGACGACGGCGGTCCTTACGGTAGAGTCGTATTACAGTCTTCTACGTTGGGTGCTTATGATGCAGCCGGAACGCCTTGAGCTAAAGGTGGCCCACTCTACAATGGCACTTTACCAGGAGCCTCAAGCCGCAAAGAAGCTTTTTGCCAAAGTGACTTGCTATGATCCTACCACCGGTAAGGTTGTGATTGAGCGCACGACGGCTGATTCCAAGTGGGGTATGATGATAAATGCATCCGGCGCTCTGGTTGGTTTGGAAAATGCACTTCGAAACGCGACACCTGCAGGGGGTGCGTTGTACCACGCTCTTCAGCAAAGAAAGGGTGGCCTGTCTATTTTCGACATCAACAACGTTCACATTGGCGGTGTTGAGGGAGAGGAATTGGGAGAGGGAGAACACGAAGAGATGGCTGACGCCCAAACCAAAGCCACTCGCGTAGAGAAGATAAAAAAGGTACTTCAGGGGTCGGATTGTGTTATTTCATTACATGTGGAAAAAGTGACGACAATGGGTGAACCACAGGAAGTTGCATTTGACGCCATACAACAGGGAGGGGAAGAAGCCTCGGGGCAACAGGCGGTTCTCATTCTAAAACGACCATCCATTGAAGTGCAGTGGAAGCTTAAGATGCGTGTGCATACCGAGGGTGTTATAGTTTTGGAGGACTGTTCCGATTCTCTGCCGGTTTCTGAGGCAGCCAGAAATTTCCTTTTCTCCCACCGTGGGCATTTGCTCCTTGTGCAGGTTAATGGGTGCGAAGCAACACATGGTGCCCTTCTCATGGACCTGATTCGCAGTTCCTTGTACTTGGTGCTGCGGCTCCAGGTTGTGGACAACGTCGAGCAGCTCGTGGCGGATGCAATTTCCAAAAAACAGGGCGAGGCGATGGAGACTGTACAAAGTGCGACAGTTTTTCATGAAGAGCGGGAGACGAATGAGGATGAGGAGGCTGAAGTGGCCCAACACCGAGCACTGTTGGAGCAGCACAACATTCATCCTGACGAGCCCCTACCGGAGGTAAATGAATTCGAAGACGCATCATTGCCCAAGAAGAGGGGACGCCCAAAGAGGCTGAACGAGGCAGAGGATGCGGTGGCCGAGATGACATTAATGGAGGCGCAGGAGGAGATGTCAGCAGCCGTCACGGAGGCAGAAGAGGCGCCACTGGCCAAGAAGAAGGGACGCCCAAAGAAGCTGAACGAGGCAGAGGATGCGGTGGCCGAGATGACATTAATGGAGGCGCAGGAGGAGATGTCAGCAGCCGTCACGGAGGCGGAAGAGGCACCACTGGCTAAGAAGAAGGGACGCCCAAAGAGGCTGAACGAGGCAGAGGATGCGGTGGCCGAGATGACATTAATGGAGGCGCAGGAGGAGATGTCAGCAGCCGTCACGGAGGCAGAAGAGGCGCCACTGGCCAAGAGGAAGGGACGCCCAAAGAGGCTGAACGAGGCAGAGGATGCGGTGGCCGAGATGACATTAATGGAGGCGCAGGAGGAGATGTCAGCAGCCGTCACGGAGGCAGAAGAGGCGCCACTGGCCAAGAGGAAGGGACGCCCAAAGAGGCTGAACGAGGCAGAGGATGCGGTGGCCGAGATGACATTAATGGAGGCGCAGGAGGAGATGTCAGCAGCCGTCACGGAGGCGGAAGAGGCACCACTGGCCAAGAAGAAGGGACGCCCAAAGCAGCTGAACGAGGCAGAGGATGCGGTGGCCGAGATGACATTAATGGAGGCGCAGGAGGAGATGTCAGCAGCCGTCACGGAGGCGGAAGAGGCGCCACTGGCCAAGAAGAAGGAAAAAAGTCAGGGCGAGGGGAAGCTTGGCGGGAGTGTGTCGCGTAAAAGGAAAAAGCTATCGAAAAGGATCCTGAAAGAAATGAAGAAGAGAGCGAGGGAGGAAAAAAAGAAGAAACTTCGAGAGATGAAAAACCGGAGGCTACTTAAGGCAAAAGAGGCGAGGAAGGCGGAAACTGTCAATAAATCTTCTCCCCTTGAGGAGGTCGCAAAGGAACAAGGGGTGCTGGATACGCCGGTTGTGAATATTAAGTCTCACTCAGAGTTAGCGGCTGAGGAGGGGAAGAAAAAAAAATCCACGAAACCGGTATCATCGCCACCAACAAAACCGTCACCACCAACGAAACCGGTATCATCGCCACCAACAAAACCGTCACCACCAACGAAACCGGTATCATCGCCACCAACGAAACCGTCACCACCAACGAAACCGGTATCATCGCCACCAACGAAACCGTCACCACCAACGAAACCGGTATCATCGCCACCAACGAAACCGTCACCACCATCCGCGGCAGTCGAGGAAGTCCGCACAGTCACCAGCTATGCCCCAACGGTGTCCGCAGTTGAGCTTAAGAACGCTCCTCCTCTTACATTTGAAAATGCGGTGACATTGGACCGGTTTGACGGCTCTTACATGGAACTTCGTCGTCCAGATTTGAAGACACCGTGGAACATGAAGGTTTCTTTTGGCGGGGATAAGCTGGTGTTAACAAGTCTTCCACCAATTTCAGCCGCTCTGAAAACACATCCGTTTTTGAAGTCGTTGCGACCCGACACGAATGGTCAAATTAATTGGCTCGTGGACAATGTCAACGGGACGGATCTCACGACAGCGAACAAGTCTTTGCGGGCAAAGGCACTGGATCTCATGAAAAAGACGAATAAAATCTCACTTCTTCTTCGACCACTTTCAAAGTAATTATTTGGTTTTTGTTTTCATGCCCCTCTTTGACCCATAAAGGTTGGAAGCAGCCATGAGAAGGGCTCACTGTCCCATCCATATTCTGCGTCCTAGTCGCCCTTATCGCCAATAACTGGCCTCTTTACGCCGCTTTTTTCATAGAGGACAAATTTTTTTTTTTTTTTCTTTCTTTTTTTCTCATTTATTTATTTATTTTTATTTTCATGTCTGTCTGTCTGTGTGCGTGTTTGTGTGGTCGCCTGGTTGGTGGCGGGTTCCATTTTTTTACAGCACATTTTTGAAGAAGAGAAAGAAGGAAATGAGGACACATAGAGGAAGGGTTTTTTTTTTTTTTCTGTGTGTGTGTGTGTGGATGTGACAGAACATGCGGTGACTGTGGAAGAAGAGGAAATGGGTGAGATCTATAGAAGGAAAAGAGGGGGAGGCGGATTACTGTGCGTGTTATGTCGCTGCCTTTTTATTTTCCGCGTTTTAGGAAACTCTAAATTACGCCTCGAAACTGGACGGGGCTTAAAATCAAGAAGAAGAAGAAAAAAAGCGAAGAAAAAAAAAAAAAAATTCAAAAATTACGCATACATACAGCGTATACATATTTGCCGTTTCAGATGAGGAAAATTTATTTATTTATTTATTTATTTTTTCTTTTTGGCAAAGCCTTGCGGGTTGAAATAATAATAATTATTGTTTTCTTCTTGTCAGTTTTGCTGGTCGTGTGTGCATGTTGTTTTTCTCCTCAATATTTTTTACTTTTGTATCTGCTCCTTGTTTGATTTTACTATCACCCATGCTGCCAAGCAGGAAGGTTCATCCGGTCCACGACGGCGGCTAAAAACCTAAGAGGAAAACGACAACAACAACAACAACAAAGAAACAGGAAGAAAGGGGAAAAGAGATCACCTTGGCTGAGGTGCGTTCCGCAGAAACAACAACAACAAAAAAAAAAAGAAGCGGAGCACGTCTTTTTTTTGTGTGTGCGTGGGCGCGAATATGGCAGCGAAGGAACTTTTGGCAGACATGCGGGCTTTGTTGGAAGCAATGGAGGGCCAAGAGGCGAGGCCAATCGAGCGTGGAGAGGGAGACGCCTCCACGGAGGAGAATCTCCGTACACCATCGCCATCGCTAGAGGATAAAATCGGGCAGTTGCTGGGCGCACTGCGGTCAAACGGCGTTGACGACTGGGCAGGAAAACCCGCACAAGAAGATTTGGGTGTCCGTTTTTTTTCTCAACCCCGAGAGGGTGCTGGTAACGGCAGGGTCAGAGAGAATACGCAGACAACAGATGGAGACACGATCGACAGCCTCATGTGCGAGTATCTTGGGGCGGTCAAGCAGGTTTGGCGCACCGAAGATCCACTCGAAGAATAGGGGCTTTACCCGTCCGCCTTCAACCAACAGATTTTTTTTTTTTTTTTTTTTTTCTGTTTTTTCCGCAAGAAAAAAAACCCGTTTATACTAAACATCCATTTTCACAACAAGAGGCGTGCAATAAAAAAAAAAAAAAAAAAAGGCTTTCCGCGTTTTAAACGCTGCATGTACATCCGTCTTTTTTTCGCTATTTCACGGGACGCCAAATGAAGTGAAGGGAAGGGTAGGCAATGCGCGGGCGGCGTCTCTCGGTATATTCTCCTGCACTTCCAAAAGCCAGAGCCGCCGCGCGGCGGGAGAGAAAAACGGAAAGGCAGAGCGCGGTCCACGCGCTCGCGGCGGCGTCTGGCAAGGCGCCCATGCCCGCCAAGAGAAGCCCTGATTTCGGCGGCGGCGAGGGTCGGCTTTGCCGGCCAGCCGACGTCCGATGATTGAGAAGAGGGCGGCCATGGAGCTCTCCACGAGACGCCGAAGACAAGACCAGGAAAAAAAAAGGCCCGAGATCGGCCGCAAGAGTGCGATGGCGGAAAAAAAGGGGACGCTTCGGCAGCAGGCTGGGGAGAAAAACCAACAGCAAGGAAGCACCGCGCGGGCGCCGAAAAAAGAAACAAAAAGGCAATCGAAGAAAACTGTTTTTTTCCTTCCCTCTCTCTCGTCTTTCCGCGGTCTTTTTTTTTTTTTGCGCGTGGATTGTGGTGTTTGGGAGATTCAAAAGGCTTTTAAGAAAGCTGTTGCTGTTGTTATTGTTGTTACCGTTGATTTTATTTTTATTTCTTTTTTGATGGGAACTATTTTTTTTTTTTTTTTTTTTTTTTTTTAAGAGCTTGTGAAGAGAATGATCGTGGTAGAGCTGGCTAACCTATTGTGTATATCCTGATAGAACGAGTACATTTCTTTATGGTACTTTTCTACCGTATGAATTTTTGGGAAGAAAACGACTTTAAGGGTTAGGGAACCGATAGAGGCCAGATAATTTTTTACTTTTATTTTGCCATTCCACCCAGCCCCTCGATTCCCACCTCGCGGTGGGGTCTTGTGGCTGGAGGACCCCAAAGTCTGCCACTTCGTAAGTAATAATATTTCGGATCTGAGTACAAAAGACCACGTGAGTAGTCAACAGAATACATATATATATATATATATATATATATATATATGTTATATTTATTCAGAAGAAAAACATGAGGCAATTAACTACCTCTGGGGTACCTCTTTTTCCTTATCTTGTTTGGTTTTTATAGATAATTTTAGGATCCAGTCAGCGGCCCAGAAGATTGTTCTGTAGATCTCTGCGGCGCCTTGGCGTCGGCGCTTGGCCGCATTGTGGCGTGCCGTGCGCTTTTTCCTCTGCTTTGGCCGCAGGTCCCCTGCCCCCGCCCTTCTCTCCTCCCTTTGTTTCCCAAGAGCAAAGCCAAGCCAAGCAACCTAACCACACTTTATTACTATTTGTTTTTTTTGTTTTTCGCAGACAAGGATGGCAACCCCGAAGCAGGCAGCGAAGAAGGCGTCCAAGAAGCGCAGCGGCGGCCGCTCCGCGAAGGCCGGTCTGATCTTCCCCGTGGGCCGTGTGGGCTCGCTGCTGCGCCGCGGCCAGTATGCCCGCCGCATCGGCGCGTCGGGCGCTGTGTACATGGCGGCGGTGCTGGAGTACCTGACAGCCGAGCTGCTGGAGCTGTCCGTGAAGGCGGCGAGCCAGCAGGCAAAGAAGCCGAAGCGCCTGACACCCCGCACGGTGACGCTTGCCGTGCGCCACGACGACGACCTCGGCATGCTCCTGAAGGATGTGACGCTGTCGCGTGGTGGTGTGATGCCGAGCCTGAACAAGGCGCTGGTGAAGAAGCACAAGAGCAGCAAGAAGGCGAGGGCGACGCCCAGCGCTTAGAGCGGCCTTCAGGCCAAGCGCAGAGACGGGGCGCAACATGTTAGATGCACCTGGGTGGCCGTCGTCGCCGAGCCACGGTGACCCACACGTAGCCCCATAGAATAGGATTGTTTTTTCGTTGTTTTCTTCTTGTTTTCTACGGCCTCTCTCCCCACTGTTGTAGGGGCTTGTGAAGAGAATGATCGCGGGAGAGCTGGCTAACCTATTGTGTATATCCTGATAGAACGAGTACATTTCTTTATGGTACTTTTCTACCGTATGAATTTTTGGGAAGAAAACGACTTTAAGGGTTAGGGAACCGATAGAGGCCAGATAATTTTTTACTTTTATTTTGCCATTCCACCCAGCCCCTCGATTCCCACCTCGCGGTGGGGTCTTGTGGCTGGAGGACCCCAAAGTCTGCCACTTCGTAAGTAATAATATTTCGGATCTGAGTACAAAAGACCACGTGAGTAGTCAACAGAATACATATATATATATATATATATATATATATATATATATATATATATTATATTTATTCAGAAGAAAAACATGAGGCAATTAACTACCTCTGGGGTACCTCTTTTTCCTTATCTTGTTTGGTTTTTATAGATAATTTTAGGATCCAGTCAGCGGCCCAGAAGATTGTTCTGTAGATCTCTGCGGCGCCTTGGCGTCGGCGCTTGGCCGCATTGTGGCGTGCCGTGCGCTTTTTCCTCTGCTTTGGCCGCAGGTCCCCTGCCCCCGCCCTTCTCTCCTCCCTTTGTTTCCCAAGAGCAAAGCCAAGCCAAGCAACCTAACCACACTTTATTACTATTTGTTTTTTTTGTTTTTCGCAGACAAGGATGGCAACCCCGAAGCAGGCAGCGAAGAAGGCGTCCAAGAAGCGCAGCGGCGGCCGCTCCGCGAAGGCCGGTCTGATCTTCCCCGTGGGCCGTGTGGGCTCGCTGCTGCGCCGCGGCCAGTATGCCCGCCGCATCGGCGCGTCGGGCGCTGTGTACATGGCGGCGGTGCTGGAGTACCTGACAGCCGAGCTGCTGGAGCTGTCCGTGAAGGCGGCGAGCCAGCAGGCAAAGAAGCCGAAGCGCCTGACACCCCGCACGGTGACGCTTGCCGTGCGCCACGACGACGACCTCGGCATGCTCCTGAAGGATGTGACGCTGTCGC